GGTATTATCAGAGGTTATATAAACAATGACTACCTATATTATATCCTCTTCACCGATGACTTAACTGGGATGAAATTTGTATACTTTCTGAAATCAAAAGATAAATCATCAGTATTCAACGCCATATGTGCTTTTATAAACTTTGCTGAGCGACAGAGCGAAAGAAAAGTGAAATGCTTCACCTTGGATCAAGGATCCGAATTCTTCAATTCTTTGTTTGTACCTTATTGTCGAGAACAAGGTATTTGGCTGCATGAAACCGCAGCATACACACCAGAGCAAGACGGAGTATCAGAACGAGCTAATAAAACTATCACTTACAAAGCAAGAGCCTTACTCCAACATGCCAATGTTCCACCGAGTTTCTGCTTTGAAGCAGTAAACACAACTGTATATCTCGACAATAGAACTATATCTTCTGCTTACAATAATGGACTAATGACACCATTTGAAGCTTGGTATGGTCGAAAACCATCTATATCACACCTTCGTACCTTTGGATGTGGTGTTGAGTACCTTATCAGGAAACCACAAAGAGAAGGCAAATTTCATTCTATTACCCGTACCACCATTTTACTCGGTTTTGCTACAGACAACTTCAACTATCGAGTGTACGATCTTGAATCAAAGAAAATCATAACTTCCCACAACATCATATTCCGTGAAGATTTCTTTCCATTTAGAAAATCAATCAAATTCAATTACGATAATTTATTCTCAAAGAAAGAAATAGAAGAACTCAAAGAATCAAATCCCGGAATCGATACCGTAATCAATCTTGATGACGATGATTTCCCTTTTATCAAAACCTCCAAACCCGGTGACAACCAAGATATTATCCCAGAGTCTGAACCTCTGCGTGATAATGTTGAGGACACCCCAAATCCAGAACCACCAATTCCATCTGAAGCAACCAAGGAGTCTGAACCTCCTGTGGAAGCAACAATAGATGATGTGAACAAAAGCTTAGATCAATTGAATGTCCGACGATCAACTAGGGAAAGACACCCTCCCGATCGATTTACACCGTCTAGCCAGCATGCTTTCTGGGCAGATATAAATGCTTTCATTTCAGAAACCGATGACGACGAATTGTACGCTTTCAGTACAATGCCAACTGTCAGACTAATCAATGAGCCTAAGACTTACAAGCAAGCGTTGAAATCGAAAGAACGATCAGAATGGATAGATGCTATGAACAAGGAGTTATCTTCAATTGACAAACGAAAGGTATGGAAAATAGTCCCTCGTCCAAAGAACAGAGCGGTAGTTGGCGGAAGATGGGTCTTTCGAATTAAATCAAATTTAGACGGTTCAATTGCTAAATACAAGGCTCGATATGTGGCCAAGGGCTTTTCTCAAGTGCCTGGGGTTGATTATCATGATACCTACTCTCCAACAGGTAAACCCGCATCTCTCTGTGCCCTAGTTGGAGTCGCCGCATTAAACGGATGGCCAGTTCACTCCATGGATGCCATATGCGCCTTTCTCAATAACTATCTTGATTACGAAATTTTCATGGAGCTTCCGGAAAACCTCAAAGAAGAATACGGACCTGATATGGTAGCATGCCTCCTTCGAACCATTTATGGTTTAAAACAATCAGCAAAATACTGGAGTGATGATGTGACTAAATTCCTACTGTCTATTGGATTCAAACAATCAGAAGCAGACGCTTGTGTATTTGTGCGCATATCAATGAAAGGAACAAAATTCTCTGCTTTATATGTACACGTTGATGACATGGCAATCACGGGAAATGAAATTGACGATATAAAGAAACTGATTGCTAATAGATGGGATATGGAAGACTTAGGGGTATCTCATTGTATAGTTGGAATTCAAATATGTTGAACATCAGATTTTTCTTACGCAATAGGTCAACCTGCAATGATAGAAAGCGTACTTGAACGTTTTGGTATGGCAAGTTGCAAAATAGCTAGCACACCTCTCCCAGCTGATCTCAAGCTTGTTCGAGCGACTAACTTTGAAGTTCAAGACTTTTGTCGACAAAATTTACCTTACCGCAACGGAGTTGGTTCCTTGATGTATCTCTCACAGTGCAGTCGTCCTGACATTGCTTTTGCAGTTGGTGTACTGTCTCAACACCTTGACCGGCCATCCCGAGCTCACTGGAACGCATTTATTCACGTCTTACGATACCTTAGAGGAACCACCCATCTTTTCATTGAATACAGCGCTGATGATAAAGGCCTATCAGGTAATCAATCCTGGAACTGTCCGTATGGTTTCTCAGATGCCGACTGGGCAGGTAACAAGGACAATCGCCGATCAACGACTGGATACGTTTTCAAGTTTCTAGGTGGAGCAATCAGCTGGAAGAGTCGTCTCCAACCGACCGTGGCGCTATCAAGCACAGAAGCCGAATATCGAGCGACAACAGAGGCCGGACAAGAGGCCATCTGGCTTCAAAATCTTCTGAGATCATTTGGCTTTGAAATTCAAGAGCCAACACGTTTGCATTGTGACAACCTTGGTGCAATACACCTCACCTCAAAGACTATTTTTCATGCTCGAACTAAACATGTAGAGATACAATATCATTGGATCCGTGAACTAGTTAAACAAGGAGCTGTTGAATTACGCCACTGTCAGTCTCACAAAATGATTGCAGACGTCCTAACCAAACCATTAAGCAAAGCACCTTTTCAATGGTTACGCAAAATGATTGGACTACACCATAGGGAGTCAAATTAATCTCTTTTCATCTTATGTTTCTTTTTTTTCTTTTCTTTTCTTTGATTTCTTTTTTTATTCTTTTTGTTATCCTGTTCTTCTTAATTTTGCTAATTTGTTTGACGTGCTTGAGGGGGCGTGTCAGAATATAACTCAATTCATCAAACACGTCAAACCACATAAATACATTATCAAAATACATTACATCAAAATTCAATTAACTCAAATACATGACATCAAACCTAATTCATCATACACATGATTCAAACCTAGTTCAAAAAAGTATCACATATAAATATGATTTTCACTTCTCCACGTCAGCCTCTTTTCCCTCATCAGTTCACTGAGGAAAAAGAGGCGTGTAAGTGGATTTCTCATACAATTTCTCAAACTCATAAACTCTATTAAAACTTTCTATTTTATTTTACTTTGTTGTACAGACTGCTCCTGTTATCTTACCTTTATAGGTTTGTCATCCATTCTCGTCTTCAGTGTTCAGAGCCGCTAGACTCACACCCGTTTGCTGGTGTTATAAGGTTAGAGATATTAGTTGACTGTATGAAATATAATCATCAGTTCACTGAGGAAAAAGAGGCGTACTGCTCCTGTTATCTTACCTTTATAGGTTTGTCATCCATTCTCGTCTTCGGTGTTCAGAGCCGCTAGACTCACACCCGTTTGCTGGTGTTATAAGGTTTGTCATCCATTCTCGTCTTCGGTGTTCAGAGCCGCTAGACTCACACCCGTTTGCTGGTGTTATAAGTCACCATTGCAGGTGACTCGAGTTTATTTAGATTCTCTCAATTGAAAGTAGATGCAAAGGCTTGATTCAAATGATTAATGTGTCTAGTTTACCAAATGCAGCTATGACAAGATGGGTAGCATATATTCAGTTATTTTCTTTTGATCTTTTTCATAAACATGGAAAGAGTTTGGGATGCCTGATGGATTATCAAGAAGAGAACCTGGGAGTGAATCTGATGAAGCTGAAAGTTTTAATGAAGACAAGAAAGAAATCAAAGTATATGAAAGTTTTCCATTACAAGTGGGAAGTTCAGAATTAGAAGAAGAGGAGGGTGTACTTGAAGGGAGTTCTATATGGAGTCAAGAAGGAATATGGCATAATTTAGGAGAATATTTAACAACTTTCATTGGACGAAAAGATTGTGAAGATGCCAAATTTCAAAAGATAAAGAGTAAAACTCCTTTATTTCATGTGGATGGAAATAGGTTAAAGGAAAGAGGAGTACCTCAAGCAAGATTGGTAATATCAAGAATAGAAGCACAAGAACATATTTCAAAGAAATTACACAAAGAATTGGGACATGAAGGAATTGAAGAGACTTATGGAAGGTGTTTGATTAGGTTTTGGTGGCCTGAAACAACATTGGGCTGCTGCGTTACGTTGCTGGCAATGGGGGGTTGCCAAACAATGCAGCGGTTTTTTTTTGGCCCACCCAGGTACAACGCAGTGGGCAACTGTGAAAGCCGCTGCGTTGCGACACAATGCAACTAACATTGCGTACAGTTGCGCACAGTTGCGCACCCGCAACACGAGATAATGAAGAAACGAAAAAGAAAAAAGACAAGGCCCGTTTTTGCGGTTTTTTATTGAGTCATAAGACTAAGACTACAACAACTTTCATTGGTGTATTTAATTGCATTCATGTACAGTCAATTTCATAAAGGTTGAAATCAAGTTGTTTTGAAAATCGAGAGGTGGACCGTGCGCCACCTGTGACAGGTATCAGATATGCATACAGAAATGCTGATATAAACAGAGTAGCCACGAAAGGTCCAAATAGTCTCTGGCGCAGTTGGGTGAACGCCCTAGTGCATCTCGGTATGAGCTTAGTGTAAATGCCTTATATTTTTGGGTTCGAGCCCCAGTGGCTTTCTTCTAAGGCATCACACTTTTTGCAAAGTTTTTCGTGTTTTATATGCTTGTTGTCATGAACTAAAAGAAAGAAACAAGCCTCGCTGTGTTTATTTGCTCGCATTTTCTCCCCTCATTGATTGTAGACAAAAACACGGGTAACAAAAGCAAGGTAGCAAGTCGAACACGTGATTAACCAGCAAAGTCAGGCCAACCTGCATTGGCACGTTCAAACCACTACACCACCAAGGATTTATGATGGGGGGTTGTTAAAGGTTTGGATACAGTATGTTATTCGATCTCAAAGGTAATTTTGAGACCTGTCACGGGTCGCGCACGGACCACCTCTTGATTTTCAAAACGCCTCGATTTCAACCTTTATGAAATTGACTGTATTTAAATGAATTACCCCAATGCCTCAATGGCTTCATTCACCTTGGTGTAACTATGTGCCAAAGGTACACCTTGACAAATCCAAAGGCGCAAACCGACGTTGTACTCAATGGTTCGCGGAACCAGACAAACTCAATCACACAAACAAATGTCCGCTGCCGCTGAGAAAGTCCGTTCCACGATTGCAGAACTGGCCGAGAGACTTAAGGAGTCTCGCGCAAGAGACGCTAGGACGGGGAAAACGGTGCAGTTCACCTACAAACAGTTGTATAAACAATTGAGTTGAATGTTTGACTGACAGAATGACACAAGCGAGATCACTTACACTCCACCATGGTAGGACCGCTTTGCAATCCCTTGCGTTGTCAGAAGCAGCCATGGGATGAGTTCCCTTCAAGTAGGAAGTGACTTTGTCACGCGCCACTTCAGGATCTTGACTTTTGAATAAATCAAATACACTTTTCACTCCGGAGTTGCTGGAGTTTGAGGTTGCTGGATCAGATACTACTGTGATTTCATTTGCATTGGTAATTGAATTGTGCTCCTTTTTACGCTTCTTGAATTTTTCTGGAAACCGGTTTTGTGCTCGGATTGTGTAGCGATGTTCTGGTCCAAACCCTTGCTTGAAAATCTGAAGCCAAAATAAGGGATTGAGAATATCAGCCATGGCTGTTGTATCACAGTTCAAAGCCTCATCCAGGTATTTGTCAACACGTGATTGCATTGAGGAAATCATTGGCAAAAGAGCCTCTCCCATGGAAAGCTCTTTTGCTCGGCTGTCCAGATGAGCCTTGAGTGCATAAAACTTGGCAATAACCATTGAGCCAGTGGGCCCGTTGCCCTCCATGAGCTTTGTGAGATCAAGGAAAGGCTGATGAGAAGTGGCCATCATCAGCAAAAGAGTAGATTTGGAAAATAATGTTTCAAAGTCTTACCGCGAGCTTGTTGGTCAAATCCGCAAGCATATCCCAATTGTTGTGAGAAAAGTTGATCTTGTGGAAGTAGCCTCGGGGTTTGTTTGAACCCTTAGATTGACGCTTCTTGGCTTTGACACAGTCAAGATCCTCAGAAAGAAGCTTGCTCACAACCTAAGGATTTCAAAATGTTAGAATATGAAGCAAAGGAACTAAGCTGTTGAAATGAAGTTAGAATCCCCTGAAAGTTTGAAGGCTAACTCACCTTCCGTGCCTGAACCAATCAATTGAGGGAATCAAACTCTGCATTCCAACATGTTGCATTGTATCCAGGAGTTAACAGTAAAAGTTTCATATCCATTTATTTTGCTTTCCTTGAGAAGTACCTTCTCCAAGCGGCCGAGCAAGAGACCCGACAAGAAATGAAATTAGCCTGAAAGTACCAGAGTGTCAGTGTAGTTCATTAACAGTGTTTAGTGGCTAACAATACCCGTCCCATCAATACATTTAGACGGTTTGCCTGTTTTCTGGACTCTTGGGTATGATAAGGATTTGTGGTGGCCTTTGGAGCTGTATCTTCAGGTGAGTCCGTTTCTTCATCAAGCTTGTCCTCCACATCTTCATCATAGTCTGGAGCAACACCTTGGAAGTCTTCTCCCTCTGAATCACCTTCTTCTTCTTCTTGTTCTTCATTGGCAAGATCAATGACTTTCGTGTTCATTTCTTCATCCTTGTCTTCTTCTGCTATGACGGGCATTTGCTTGGATATTGGAAATGCTCCTAAGAGTGATTCTCTTTGAGAATCTTGTGAAGGCGCCGTTTGACCGAGTTCCAAAAGGCCACCTTTGATAGTTGACAAAAGTTTATGAAGGAAGCACCTGGCGTAGTCGGTGGTTGGATTCCACGTGTAAGATTGATCATTGGAAGATGTTACATTGTTGGCTTCTTCCAAGTTCCGGAACTGGGTATGCATCTCTTCCGCCATCGTGATGTTGTTTGAACCTGAGTCTGTCACCTGGAAGAGCAAGTGCCGTTCAGAAATAGATTGCAAAAAACGAAAAAACAAAAGAAACAACAAATGTCAGTCTACTGTTTTGACAACATCAGAAATTGTACTCATCTTGTATTGAAGCTTATGCTTCTTCATGAAATGAGCCAATGGTTAAGCAAGCCACTTCCGTTGTGATGCCGCACAACTAGCTTCAAAGTTAAGTGTCGGACTTGATAGTTCCAGTTCTCGTCCACGAAAGTGACCGCAGCACCTAGGAAGGCATGGATGTTGTTTGCCGTGGTCCATCCATCATGGATGAGCGTAAACCTCCCCGTGTTACCCTTTCAAAGAAAGTATGCTCACAAAGTCAGCATTCCAGAAGTAGTATACAAAAGCAAAACAAACAAACTCACTTGTATCTTGTTCAACACGGTGTCTGGAAAAGAGACATACATTCCTGCAGCTTCTCTGCCCACCCACGTACAGCCAAAGATCTTGATGTCCTTGCAAATGTAACGGAAAGCAAGGTGAAGAAAGTGATCCTCAATGTGGTTCCATGGTAGCGCTTGCGCCAAGATCCCCATTGTGAGTATTTGATTCAGTACTTTGTTTTTGAATGGCGTCGGTGATTTTAAATGAAAGAAATCAGCTAAATTGCGCTGGTTCTTTTTAGCTTTCTGTGCGTCAATTTCAAAACCAGAATCAATTGCGTCCTGCCGGCCTGCACACGGCTTTCAAACTTGGCCTACCGTGTATCCATCTCGGTGCTGCTTCAAGTTTGAATTGGAGTCGTAATAGATTCGAGGAGCTTTTATGCACCATAGACAAGGACAGACCAGGGGTTTCTTGGTCTTATCCTGTCAAAAGGAAACACACAAAAGATTATAAATCGACAGTTAAAAAATGTTTATCAAGAGAGGAAAGACGATTATCAATAGGGGAGAAAGTGTCATTACTTACATCGTCCTCTGCCCATGTGGGCTCTCCTAAGTAATCTTTCACAGCATCATACTCCACAGCTTCTTCTTGATCATTTTCCAACACCTTCGCACGCTTCGCTTTTTGACAATCAGTGAGGTTGTCGTCAGAATCTTGATTCATCTTGGTATCTGAAGGTACATTGTCATCAATTTGCTGTTTGTTTAAAGATTATAATTAAAGATAGGAGTGTGGCGATTTTAATGAAGATGGACATAGAAATCAATCATTGATAAATGAAGTTGATTAATGATTGATGGAAAGAAGTACTAATCATTTTAATGGTGAGAAACTCACGTTTTGGCTGGGTCTAGTATGCATGGTGAGAAACTCACGTTTTGGCTGGGTCTAGTATGCTTCTTTGATATCAGAGGGGCTTTTCCATTCTTCAATGGGGCCTTCAAGTTCTTGGACATTGATTCCTTCTTTTTTTGTAGTAACTTTCTTGTTTCTGGAAGGTTTTGGCAGGGAGATAGTGGTCCTGCCATTGGTGGATGGCTGGACCATTCCGGAAACGGTTTTACGAGGTGTAGGAGGTCTGCTGGAGTGTCAAAGGGGAGTGCCGATGGCCTGAGATGAAAGGGAAGGCGGGTGGTTGGATTCCTCACCCGGACTTGACACCACTTGGAAAAGCGATTGTCGAATTGGGTTCAAAGCAATCCGGTGTAAGGTTAATTGATTTGAGAAAAGGATGTTTGGGAAGTCGGAAGAGTATGGCCAGCATGAGGAGACACGACTGCCTTGCCATAGCTGCATGATGTCAGAGGCAAGGGGTTGGGGTTAGCAATGAGTTGGTGTGAAAAGGAGAGATGATGACAACTTCCTTACGCAGGAGGAATTCCCCCAAATGATCAGGTTGGCCCCGTTGCCCCGTTGCCCTGGTGCTTCCTGTTGCGCTGCTCGGTTTCCCACTGCAAAAACAACACAACCCGCCAGATATTAGCCCTGCTGCGGTCAACGCAGTGGGTAGTGGTTACACCCATTGCTCAGCGCTGCATTGGCGGGTTGGTGCGCTGCGGTGTGTTGCTCAAAAACAGCAGCGCACCGGCCCAACGTTGCCTGAAATGAAAGAATCTGTAAGGAATTGGATAATTTTGTTTGAAGAATGTTAAAAGAAAAGTTCAAAGAAAGAAAAAGAAGTTGGAAGAGCTACTGGTGAAAATACCGTGTTTGGAAGAGTAGGTCTTGATGCTATTCATATCCAAGCTGGAGTCACAACCATGCTATAATTGCAAGAGATGATTTATCTGGATGGGTAGAAGCAGTAACTTTAAAGAAATTAACAGCTACATAAGTAGCCAAACTTATTACAAAAGATCAGATAATGACATATGGGTCTGTGGAATGTGTTACAGTTGATGGAGGTTCAGAATTCAAAGAAATATTCAGGGAAGCAGTGACTATGGCTGGATCAAAAGTGGTGAAATCAACAGCTTCCTGGCCTCAAGCAGAAGGAATGGTTGAAAGAGGACATAAGGATATTAAAGGTGCTTTAATTGAACTAAGTGATTGTAACCTGTTGGGAAGCATTTTTACCTCAAGTATTATTTGCTGATAGAATTTCCACAAAAAGAACAACTGGAATGTCTCCTTATGAGACGATATTTAATCAAGTGCCAGTCTTGCCTACTAATTTAGAGGCTGGAACATTTTAGGTATTGCTTGGAAGTATTATAGAGGAAGTGAGTGATATTAAGAGAAATGAGTGAATGGGTTTGAATTGAATAACATCTCTAAAACAATGATTTTTAATGAGTAAGTCAACCCAAAAGCCAGGGAGATTCTACAGATTGGAACCACTTAATAGACACAGGAAACAAGGGACAATTTTCTTGCGGGAAAACCAATTGTATCTGACTCAGTTAATTAGCCAAAATGTATTATTTTGGTGTTATATCTGTGTTATTTGTACACTATGGCTCAGAAACTACATTATGTGTAATTGGTCTTCCCGCAGGCAAATTTTCTCTTGTTTCCTGTGTGAAGGTATAGCCAAGCAGGCAGGGATAAATTTTGTACAAATGGTGATATATAACATACTATCCAGGTATATCATATACAGCATACATATGATTGTGTAAGGCAATAGCAGTTAGAATCATGGGGAATATGAAGGGCATAGAGTTAAGTGTTATGAAAGGGCTAAACAGCCAGCAAATTTACCTTGGATGTGAAAATCCGAGAGACCTCAGATCTTTACACTGAGGAAAGCTCTATCCAAGGATGCAATCTGGGGCAACGGCAATGGCCAAGTTTTGCCTTGGAGGCATTCCTCGGGTGCCCTTTTCCTTGCGAGGGGCGTCCAAGGACTTCTCTGATGTTTGTTGCTGAGGCAACTATGCAGACAGTGCTATGTTCTTTGTGGACAATCACTTGAGGTTCTCCTACTGTTGGAATGGCAATCATAAGATGGATCTGCATATGCCAGTCAGGGTAATTGATAAACCTATCTTGACGCTTAGGGACATCCTCTGTCAACGACTCTATAATAGAAAAATCAGTATAAAGTGGAAAGAGCGCAAAAGAGACACTTACCACGAAGATATAAGAGTATACATTGAGCAATAGCCAAATCAGGAACAGAGTGTTCTGAAATACTGATATCCATCCACTTAATTGTTCCAAATGCCGAGACAAATGTATGTGTAGTCAATTGTTTGGAAGGCATTGAAACATAAGTGGAATAGTCAAGATTTGACAGCAATGAAGCATAGTCAAAAAAGAAAATTGTGATGAGTGAACGCAAAGATGTTCCGATTGGTGATATGTCTAGTCCATTCCTTTAACGGGAAAGTGTGCAAGTGTGGAGATGGGACTCATCTCCCCTTTCATGACTTATGTCATCCCAAAAAAGAGGTTCAAAAGAAACTAGGTTAATCTTTCGAAGCTCCTCAAGTTTGTCCTTCCACCTAGAATACCTGGTCTAAACCTAGACCCAATACTCTTACGTGGTGTGGGATGGCCCCGTAGGATGGTGGTAGGACCCTGGAATGCTCCTGCGGAGCCCCGTGACGAAAATGGTCAGGTTTTGGCCCAAAAATCGACCAATGCACGTGACCAGAATGGTCAGGTTTTGGAATTTCCATTAAAATGTACGTGACCAAAAAGGTCAGGTATGTCAAAACCTTACTGATCATGTGGCCGGTTCCGTGAACCTTTCTGGTCATGCGGAAGGTTCCATGACAGCTTCAGTTTGATGCACTGGCGCAAGAGGGCACAAGTTGACAGTAGGCTGAGAAAATGCATGTGTTCTCTTGTGTATGTAGAATATGTAGAGAGGTGGTGTTGGAGTAGGTCGGAGTATTTGGAAATAGTAAAGGGTTCTAAAGAGTCTCTGAGAGCTATCTGAAGTCTCGAGAGTGTTGTCCTTTTGTTGAGTTTCTTCGCACTTCTTTGTTAAAAAAATATTTTCTTTCATATTCCCAAAGCAAACCAAATGTCTTCCAAGAGTGGCAAAGACCCTAATCCCATAATCATCGACAGCGATGAAGAGGAAGATGATTGCTCAAAAAGTTATACAGAACCTGCTCAAATCACTATTGATAGCAGTGAAGAAGAGAATGATTTTGATTCAGCAACTAAACTTGATCATCTTAGCTCTAAAAAATCCAAAACAACAGACCTGATAGCTTTATGTCCTTTATCCACGCCACAAGCTCCTTGTGATCGATGCAAGGTGGAAAAAATTGATGGAAACAAGATCTTCAATTGCCACTGTGGAGCAAAGTCGAAGACTCTCAAGCAAGGTCGAGTTGAAAAGGCTGTCAATCACTGGACCACTGGTTAGTGTATACTGTTTGATTAGGTTGGATCTCAAACTTTTTTAACTGACATGTTGATGCCGGTGAATACAGCAGGCTGTGTCGATAAGACCAGAAAGCTAGAGGTCACCACGAAGTTGACAGACTTTTTCGAAAGACCAGCAGATTCTTCGTCAAATACTAGACCTAAAGCGCATATCAAGGAAGTGCCATGTTCTGGACTCACTGACAAAACCTGGTTACACCCATCTCAAACTTACTCGATTGCACACTTCATGGAGAAGACATGTTCAATCTATTGAGGAACCTTGCAACACAAGTTTTGCACTCAGCTCTTTGGCCCGGATGCAAAGGAAAGCAACTTGACAACCGAAAAAAAGGCCAAACTTTTGACGACTCTCGATTCTCAAGCAACCTGGGAAGTCAAGCGACATGCTAATCGTAGTGCGATATATTCTAAGTCATGTATGAAAACTATACCAGTCAGACATATCCGAATCAACGAGGATATTGTTTGTGATTCCTGTCAGAAGATCAAGCATGAAAGAAGTTTAATACGGGCAATCAATTCAGAATATGCAAAGGATGAAACTGTTAAATATATCCCCAAGACCTTGATGGCAGCTGATGCGTTTCACGCCACATTAATGAAGCACAAAGAGCTTCAGATCCTTCAGAAATCACTTGAATCCTCCTCTCGCGGCAATTGGGGTGATTTTATGAACCATCTAGCGATCTCAGCACGAAACGGTCTCCTTCAAAACCATGGAGCTTTTTGTGGTTTAATCAAAGCGGTTGCTATCAAAGCTGAGCAAGAATCCGAAGGAAAATCCACTCAAGGTATG